CCTAAAAGGTGAGGAGGGTAAATGAGCTAAATGGTCATAAGATGCTGTGGATGTGTTCCTGAAAAAGCCTGGACAACGTTGCCTTTGAAAAAACTCTTCTAAAACTGTGAAACAGGAGGTGTCTGGAGCTGAGCTGGGGCCTCCAGTCAATCATTAGAACAGAAGCCTGGTTTGAACAAGAGGACCAGTGAACAAGGGGCAGAAAACAGAAAGGAGCTGAGGAAATCAAGTGTATAACATGAAGTATGTCTTCAGCTAATCCATGAAATGGCAGAAGATACACAGACTGTGATGCTAAGCAGAATTATGTAAATGATTACATGAAGCAGCTGTGGCATGAGCCTGTAGGTACAGAGAAGGGCTCCAAAGGGAATAAACAGACACAGACAAGGCCAGGAAACTAACAGTGAAGGGAGCTTCTTTTGCTGAGGTTTCTTTAAACTAAATAAAAAATTAGAGGCATTCCAAAAAAAATACAACCAAATCCCACTGCCAGGCAAATTCTCATAAGATCCAAAAGGCTGCAGCAGAAATCTGGTTCCAGAGAACCATTACGTAACCTAGAACAGGTTGCCTAATATTACATCCCACATTTTTCAGTCTGCTTTTTAGCCACATGTGACTTTTTTTTTTTTTTTTATCAGTGCACCAAGCACTCAGAGAGCCCTTGGCTGCAGTGAAGCCTGCCAACATTCACACCGCCTGAACGAGGACTCGGAGAATTATCTCAGGCAGAAGACACAAATCTCTTGCGTGGACAGAGTAAGTAATGGGCCAACAGCTCTCTTTTCTTTAGCAACTACTGGGTTGGATTTGCTAATAATGAAGAGGTAGACAAAAATTAACATTGGAAGAAGCCACTTGCAGCTGCTTACATTTATAGCAAATTTAAATTTTGTAAGTAAATTTTAATATAATTTAAGCTGAAATCTCAACATCAATATTCCTACCAAAAAAAAAAAAAAAAAATGCTCAGAGCCTTGCATTATGCATGGCATTTAAAGGTTCTCGGTTTTCACCGAAGTCTTCTGTACAACAGCCACTCCTGAGGCCTAGCTGAGTGCCCGTGTGTCAACCTTCCTCACCTCAGAAATAAAAATTCTTATCATCCTCTCCTACTAGAAGAGTATAAAATAAAATTAAACAGCTAGAGCCAGTCTAGTGGATGATGGATGTGTCATTTAGGAAGGGCAGTAGAACAGAAACAGTTTACAGGAGCCTCCTTCATGGTCAAGGAGCTTGTTACAGCTCAACATACTTTGATGCACTTCTTGGAGCTGGCCATGAGGTCCAGGTCACTGAAGATCTGGCCGTGTCCCTAAGGAAGTGTTACCATTAACTTAAATGATACCAAGATGAAAACTTAAATCTCCCTGGGTGTCTGGCAGTGCATCTAATATACCTTTGTCTCGTACTTCATTATCACTGTGTTCAGGCAGCCAGCTCTTTGCAGTTGGGTACCTAACACTAGATATGCCCCTGAAAGCCACTAGAAATATAGGTGAGCTCTTCAAGTGATTGATAGAATTAAAAGAAAAAAAAAATCAATAATAATAATGATATAAGGGTGAACATACAACATTATGTGCCAGCATCCTTTGACATCCATTCGTTACAGAGAAAGAGGAGTTTCAGAGCACCAGTATTTTCAGTGTTTCACCATGAAATTCCAAGAAGTTCTGCTTCTCCTTAATTTCAGAAAGACAACTCTGTAGCCTCTGGCTTCTACATTTTAGTTTTTCTCATCTACTAGCCAGCAGAAGCAGAAAAATAAACACACAACTAGGAGCTGTATTCACAGACAGGAAGTAACTTTAATTAAATATTGTGAAAGTTGAAAAGTTTTTACAGCTTGAATTTCTGCAAAAAAATTATAACAATCTCTACAGTAGTTAGTTTCTCTAACAATAGAACTGTACAGTGTGTGTGTCTATTCAAAAAGATTTAGATAAGAAGGTGAAAGGTTAGTAGTTTCAGAGATGACTTCATTTTAGCTGCATCCTAGTACAACTGTGAGGAAATAGGCATACGTTATGCAATCCAGTCATTGTGAAGCTTCACCTTTTTAAAACCGAAATCTGGACGTTTCCACTTAAAGCCATATTCTGTAAACAGCTGCATCTTTTACTTTGTAAAAGATAAGGGTGGTGCAGGGGAATTTTTATAAAGTCCCATTCATCAGATCACTATAAATAGCTGCAACAAAACAAAATTATGCACATTGTCAAAGGATCTTTGGACACTGGTGCAGAAGAAGACTACAAACATAGATGGCTAACACTGGTGTTAAAATCGCTATGACTTTGAGTGGAGCTCTACAAGAGTAATTGATGGTGTCACTGGACAAAATATGGCTTTAAATTTGATTACATTGTCGTGCTGTTGCTTACTATGTGAATTAGAATAATTGCTTGGAATACACAGAAGCAATAAACTGATGTCTCTCACATTTTCCAGTTTTTTCTCCTTTTATTTTCTCACCATGAAAAAAAAAAATCCTGTTTTTTTTCCCTTCCCCTAAAAGATCACACTGTGACGTTCTAGTGAAAACCATTGCAAAATTCATACAGGAAGCATGCACAGTTGCAGCATCGTTGTAAATGATTTCTTGCTCGACTAGAAAAAAGTTATATTGTTTTAAGGTAACAAAACAGTTCTTTTGTGCTTTTCAATTCCTTTTTTTTTTTTTTTTTCTTAGAATGTTAGTGATGATTGACAGTTCTGGTGCACAGTACAATGTACAAGTGAAATGAATATGATTTGCATTGTTAAGGCATCCAATCTGCTGGTTTATATTTATGTGAAAGACAGAGAAATATACAAGCAGACTTAAGAAAGAAAGTATTTTCATTGAGTTCTATGAAGTTTCTCCCCATATTTAATGCACAAAAATGCGTCACTCCAAAGAGGAGAAATCCCATGCATATTAATAGAGTAAAACAGCATTAGTTTTTGTTAAGCTTCAAAAGCAAAGGATACATTTTTTTTTTAAGTCTACATAACTAAATGCTACAAGAATAATATGCTACCTTTTGCCATATATTGGAAAAAACTTCTTAACTTACAAATAATACAAAAATAGACAATGGCTTTTGGGTGGAAATTAAAAAAATGGAAGCATGATTTTAAACAATACTAAAAAAAAAAACTATAAATGAAATGTTTTAAAATCACATTTGAACAGCTAATACAACGGTGAATGACCAAACAAATCAGCACTTTTCACATAGCAAACATACACAATAAAATAAACTGGGGTAGGGGAAAAAAAAGCAATGTACAAATTCCAAAGATAAATACATTATTTATATGGATATTTTACAAAATCCCCTTTAAAACAAACAAACAAAAAAGAAACCCCAGGAAACAAAAAGCTTTTTTTTTCTTTAATTAATTTTGCAAGTATGTGCAAGCTAAAGGTAGTGAGCTCTTTTTGCAAAATATGCAGTAAAATTCTTTATTGTGATATTGAAAAACTGTCTTAAGACATTAAAATGTATAAATAGAACAACAACTTTGGCAAAAAATCACAAAAATCTACAGTATTTATAACTACATACAAAACACAACAGCAAAGAAAAAATATCAGGTAATGTATCTTCAGAGCTTTGCTGCCTCTTTGACTAATAGTTTTTAAGAACACTTCCCAGATAATGATAGCAAAAATTTTGTAAAACAGAAGCTATGGTTTGGATTTGAAATCTTCCTAACAGCCCCACCCCCCCCATGCCCCAAACTTGTGTTTTCATTTGACTATTCAAAAGCAGTTACCTGTTGCTTAATATATTATGATACAAACTGAGAGGGTCGACCGATACAGGACAAATCCTAGCAGGAAGGTGACAAAAATGTGTGCTTTTACATTGGGAGGATACAGACCTGCAGATGAACCTTTTCTCATTCTGCCTCATAAAAACAAGGGGAACTGGGGTATGACAAAAACACCCAAAGGGTGATGGCCACACTCTGTGTCTTGTGATGGCTATGCAAAATTTAAATGGCATTTTATGCACAGCTCCGGTGACACTAAACTTCAGGAAGGCCACTCATTTAGAGAGTCTGATATATAAGCTAAAGAGAGCCGTGATAATCTAATCCTGCAGTTTTAGCAGTATATCTAGAGGCACTGGATTCTGAGCTCAAGAGGAAATGTGTTTGTTATTTGTGTCCTTACCTAATCTTTCAGCAACTTTGTTTTGTTGCATTATTTACACACTTATTTAGCCCAATAGTAAAGACAGCGGTTACGAATCCCACCACTCATCCCACCCTCACCATTCAAAAATACCAGCTTTCTAGGGAGTGATATCTATTTAATGAGAACATTAAAAATGCATCGTATTAGCAAATCACCACTGGATAAGCAACATGTATGAGCCGACCCTTAATTAAATGGCCATAATTCTTCTACGAAAAACTAACTGGCACTTCTATTCTGTCCCATACAGACTTGTATGTAACTGACACCACTTCATTTTTCTTTACACAGCTTTAAAAAAAATCATAAATTAAAAATGTGGAGTTCCATCGCTAGTGTCCCTCGCGTAATTGGATGATTTATAAAAGACAAATGGTATTGAGTTAAATCAAGCCTTTAAAAAAAAAAAAAAAAAAAAAAAAAAAAGCAAGCCCCCAACCCCAGAAAACAACAAAAAAAAATGAAACGAAACAAAAAAAGGTGGATTTTTTTTTTTTTATCAACATACAATAAATATATCTCCCAGTTATTTGGGATGGACAGCTTGAATCAACACCTTGCAATTGCAGATTGTTAATTTCAGTATTTGCAAGGATGGTGATTTTTTTTTGTTTAAAAATCCGCAGTTATTGTAAGATTCTTCTTTATTTCTTTTTTATTTTTAAAAAGGCCTGAGTAAAAAGTTCCACTCTGGGACTTGTATCAGATTCTCTCTGAAGCAGAATTCAACCTCTTCATTAATAAAATTCTTCAAGGCAATTCTTTCACATGGGGGGAACAATCATGCCAGATATAGCTGTCATAAGGAGAGGAGAGGGGGGAGAGAGAGAGAGGGAAAAGAGTTACTTTTCTGCATTCTGAAGCAACTTTTAAAATCTTCAGCATTTTTAAACATTTACTAGCAACATACATGGCCATACTGTGAATTAAATTTACATATAAGTATGATGCAGTAAAGACAACTACATGCACATTAATCCCAGGAAGCTTCATTCTGACTGGAAAATGTTGTCAGTTGCTCTGCTGAAATCAGTGACCTTGCAGAGTAAATGCACTTCGCCTGATGTGAGAATCATCCCCCAACTTAATTTTCTGATTTTAGTTTCGAAATCTCAAAATGTTCAGGAGACATAAACCTGTCCCAGCCATTGCCACACATTCTATTTTTTAAAAAGAAAGGTACTTGCTCTACATATGAGCAAATGGCTGAAGTCCCATAAGCCCCAAGTGTTACAGATCTGGCAGTGTGTTTGTTGCATTAGGCAGAGTAACCGTGGTTTGTTTTCCTATGCCAGTTTTCTCTTCCTAGTCTGCTGTTCAGCCTGGAGACGTATATGCATTTCCAGTGCTCAGAAAAGGACTTAAGCCCTCAAATCCATTTTTTAAGTTGAATATGCCCTTAACTAACTGATGGCTTTGCAGACCAGCAGCTCATGGTTTTATTACACTTGTAGCATATTTCACCAGCTACATTATGAATAGTACGTTAATGTTAATTTAGAATGGCCTCTCTTTTGTTGGGTAAATTGCATCATCAGTATTCCTTTATTATACTTTCTAACCTCAGTTTCTATGGAACCACCACCTCTCCTAAAGAAGAGGCATTTCTTAAACGTCAATAGGTATGATCTTCCACCTAGCTTGACCTCCAGGCGGGTCTGGAGTGTCCGAGTGACATACTGTGAGCAAGCACATCATTACAGGAGATAGTCATGTAAGTTAATGATGAAAGCTGTAACAACAATGCATCTTTAAAACACCACTTGTAGGGTTATTTGCAAAAAGGTAGAAAACAGATTCGCCTTCAGGTTGGCGGCACTTCATGGGCACATTATTTAAATGCTAGAACCGCCTGCCATCTCAGACATCTGGACATGTAATTTCTTAAGGAAGAACTCAACCCTGTGACTGGTGCTGATTCATTGTGCTTTAATTACAGCTGCAATTATTTGATAAGAACAGAGCCAAAGTAAAAGGCTCACAGATTTGGGGTTGGAGGGGGAGAGGAGGGAAATGTTTTCTCCACAAACACCACCATATGTGCAAGAATTACAAGTCTAATCAGCAAGGGGAGAACAGCTCGAGTAAACTGCACTGATTAAATGAAATAAAATGAGAGGAGAAGGCGAGAATGCAAAACACATCCACATGTTTGCAGCAGGCCATCCTCAGAGGTGACATGTTGCAAGTATACAGCAGAATTTTGATTCCTGAATTTATTATTCAGCAACATTTTTATGTGGAATCACTGTACTGATTGTTTTCACTCCACATAAGGGCTCTTCAAGGTGCTGGAAATTAAGATAAAAGGGATAGAGAGGTGAGTTAAGTTGTTTATGCCCTACAAGAAGACACTCAAAAGTGAGTTGTATAGCATTTACTGACATAGGGTGTTTGTTTTTTGTTTTTTGTTGTTCTGTGTGTTTGTTTTTTTTGTGTTTTTGTTTTTTTGTTTTAAGATTCCTTGACATAGGGTGTTTGTTTTTTGTTTGTTGTTGTTTTGTGTGTTGTTTTTTTGTTTTTTTTTAAGATTCCTTGCCAGTTTTATCAACACTGGATAAAACAAAAACAGCTTTGTTAAAAATAAACAAATAAATCCCAAAAGATTTTGTTTCAAGAACATCTCACATAACAAGCCCTGAATGCTCACAAGTAGGCTTTCCCCTTGTTACGTGTGACTGAAAATGAAGCAAACTCAAGTCAGGCAATGCTCTCACTGATTTCGTAATCAGCTGCTCCCTACTCTGCTCCTGGGTTCCTTATGCTGTAGGCCAGGGTGTGGATCCTGGTCTATGGACACCTGCTGACATCCAAGGCATCAATAAAATAGGCAATGACAGCGATGGGTACAGTCAACAAGATTGTAATTCTGCTTGTGGCAGCCCTGTGAGGCAGTCACCCACAGCTAAAGGTGAGAGTGTAATTTTCCCTGTATGAATAAAAGCAAAGGACATGGGCAGGGACTTGGGACACAGGTTGTGGTCCCAGTTCTTCTTTCTCACTGTATTACATTGAGTAATTTGATTTGCTTCTGTCTCTTACCTGTGGATAAGTTTTATCCCTACTAGAAAAGCACTTGGAGATTTCAGGGTAGCACTTACTTAGAACACTGAGGTGGAACAGCAGTGTTTGGACATCAGAAATGTACATTACAGCACAAAGAGCACTGCCAAGAACAGTGCTCCCTCCTTTACTGCTCAGATAAGCAAGGAGTTAAGCAGATGGAAATGGATAGAGTCTTCCTGTATGTGATGAGTGCAACTGAACAGAATCAGATGGCTGATCAATCCTCTGTTCACACTACTTCAACATGCTGTCCTTTTCATACCTCTAAATTCTAAATTCAGTGAAACTTTAAAACAAAATGTTGTTTTGCTTTAGAAAAATTGCATGTACTTCAGAAAATGTCAAAATATTATTCCAACAACAACCAAAAAAAAATCAATCTGAAAGATTCATTAAAACCAAATCAATTTCACCAAAACGGCCAAGAATTGCCTCTCTCTTGGGCCAACATAGCTGTCTACTCTGTAGGATCCCAACCAAAGGTGACATAACTGCAATTCCCCCCTTCATGACTTAGATATTTTCCCATAGTTACATATCAGCTGTGCACCTTTTGCCATTGGAAGCAAACAGTACAGATGCAGATCTTAGCTCATTTTTTCAAAGCATTATTGCCTTTGAAGAGCTCTGAAATTCTGAATTAAATTACAAGGCAAATGACAAAACGATCTCTTTTCTGCCTAAAAGCCTTGATATTTCCATTCTTTCCAAGTCTTCATTTATATCACTCTACTTTTATTCCATAAGTGCTACATCTAGTCATGCAAATTCTCTCAGCTGTAGCTTGTTATTGATCCTGAAAACAGAGATAGCAGTGGGAAACACTGTAGGTATGAGATCACAACACCTCCAAAAAGAGAGGGCAGAGACTAGAAAAAATCAGCAATGGGCATTATTTCTTTTATCGTACACTAATTTGTATTTGCCATGAGCAAATTACAGAAATAATGTATTTTGAGTTTTACAAAATTGCATGGCAAAGAGAACAACAGATAAGCGTAGCTGTTGTTTTAGTGAGTTCTGCTGATATCTGAGCTACATAAGGAAAGCTTGATTGCTTTCTGATGTATCCAGAAGCCCAAGAGAGATAAGACAGCCTCCTTATACAAGGTTGTTTATTTAAGCAATAAGGCACAACAGGCAGTGCATTTCTGAGTCATTATTACAAGCCTCGGGTGGTGTCAGAAGGCATGGGGCTAAAGGCTGTATGTCTTTAACTCACCAAGAAGTTCAGCAATGACCTAAAAATGAACCATCTCTTGGTGGCTCATTCCTATTATAAAAACTGAATTGCTAAATAAAAATTAGGGGAAACACTCAGATCTGTGTGGTTTCTGGGCATTACAGATCTGGATGTGACATAATGAGGAGGCAATCAGCAAGCCCCAGTTGCATCCGGCACTCAGCTTATTCCATAATTGCTTTCCATAACCCAGAAGGCGGAATCTGGGAATTCTGTGTCTTGTGAAAGGAAAAACAGTGCTTGAAAAAACCTTCTCCTGTTACTTGCTTTTTCTCTCTAACCTCAACTGCATACTGGGACAAGTAGAAAAGATGACAAAAGCATTAATATGTTCAAAAGTTTCTGGCAGTCAACTCTTACCTCCTTTTTTATTTTTAATTTAGAGGCAAAACATTTTTAGCTGCTGCCTTTAACATCTGTAGCATGTCAGCAGTACCAAATTTTTAAAACACATAAAAAATTATATTTTAAACACCACAGCTCGTCTGAAAACTTTGTTGTGTATGACTCTTGATGCAGTCTGTATTTATAGCAATTCTTATTGAAGGCACCCAAGTGCTACTTATTTTTTCCCAGTATTTTCACAATTTCTGTGTGTGCTTGTGTGTATGCATACATCTCCAAGGATTCATCCTTCCAATTCATCGGTGTAAAATACACTGAGGACAATGCTTCCTTCAGTCACAATGGATCCCAGCTTTTATGAATGAACTCCTTGCGCTCTGCCTGCATATAGATTTTTTCAGCTGTAACAGTGCTATCAGCATTATGCCTGCAAGCCCAGTGTCTGTCTTTTCAGAGGCTGTAGAGTGACATGTGGAGTCTGTGGAGCCATCCTCCCCCTGCTCTGTGCAGCTCCTCCTGAACACAGCTTTAAAAATGAAGGATTTTGTTCCCTGCTCAATGCTCTTTGGATAATTTGCACAGGCACGTGGAAAGGAAAATAGACGTCAGGTCTGGGGGGAAGCACAATGCATACCGCAAAATCTTTCCCACCTCTGGCACAGCTGGAGGCAGCTGGCTGCATCTGCTTAAGAAAACTCCTTGGTCTAAGTGAGCATGAAAACATCTCTCAGCACACTAATGCACTGTGAGGTAATTATACAGAGAGGTTTAGGCACAGTGTTGGAAAATAGGCTGAACCAAACAATGAAATGGGCAGTGCTGGTCTTTGCAGCATCCTCAGTTTGACAAGCTTTTGTCTGCCACTCCCTGCATCAATGCTCCAGAATGGATTTAGGTGCTAATGCTGGAATACTTTGTAACAAGAGGGGAAGGGATAGAGAAAAGGAGCAGCCCCTTACTACCAACATTTGAAGAGGCTTTCAAAGATGCCCTGCATCATTTGTGGAAATTTATTGGCACAGAAGTATATTAATCAGTACTAACTAATATTTGACCTGGTATGAGTTACACTGGAAAATGCTGCTGTTAGTTTGTAATGTGTCTTCTATTTATGAAAGGCAAAGGTTTGTGCCAAGCTCTGTAACGGTCTATTTGCTCTCAGTAGGATCTCTGCACAAGTGTACTATGACAAAGGAAAAAAAGGAAGGGAAGATTGAGTGACGTACTTCAGGAGAAGGCCAGCCCCTGGAGAGACCCTGCAGTGGAGTACTTGCTAGAGTCCACAAAAGACTGGTCTGATAATGGACGACAACAGGGAATAAGAGAGGAAAGAAAGAAAAAGGATGGTATTAGTAAGCTGAAATATTACTCGTTTTTATCATAACAGTAGGTCTGTGCTTTAAGAGACACAGCCTCCCAATTCATCAGTATTAGTCGAGTTAGAGGTAGGGTGGTTGCCAAACACCTGCAAGGTACTAGGTGGGCTGGCAGTGGAGTCCAGTTACTCTTTTGGGGAGGAAACTTTAGGACAGAGGCCACCAGGGATCCCCCACTGTCTCCTCTCCCCTTGGAAAACTCAGTGTCACTTAGAGCCTCTCAAGGCACTGGGAACTTACGGTTTTGAGAGCAGCCTTCTATGTTGCAGAGCTGGTTTCACTTACCTTGCAGGCTATTGCCGTTGGTGCTGGTGCAGGTGGGAGGAGGAGACGTTTGCGGTCTCACAACTGGCGCAAAAGCACTCTTCTGTTTCACCGCTGAGACCATGTTGGCTGGTGAGAAGGAGAAAATCCCAGACGAACTGCTACAGTTTGAGGGGAGGCTAGTGGAGGAGGCCATTGTTGGACTTGATGGCACAACTAGAGGAAAAGAAGACCCCCCCAAAAGGCATACCTTAGTATTAGAATGTCAGCACTACCACAGAAACAAAATAATCCTGCTGCTTGGATGTACTAAGTCTAATTTCAAAGTACCAAGACTTTTACTGCAGTTAGAGTTCTGGTTGCTCACAAAGCGGAATTGGTCACTGCAGGAAGCACTTTTTTTTTTTTTTTTTTTTTTTTAAACTTTTTTTCCCCCTTCTAAGTGCTCTCAAGGACTCCCTTAATTCTCTTGCAATGCAACAATTATTCTCAAGTTTGGCATCAGCCATTGCCCTGGTCAGAACAAGTGAATAAGAAGGAATCCAGATTGTGCAGGCAACTGAGGGATTAGAAAACTGATGGGTGAGGAGAGTGGTACAAATTTGGATTTGGAATTTTTAATGTGGAAAGTTTTTAACCAGCCTCCAAAGACAGCATTTTGAGCGGTACTTTTCTTGCTGGAAGATGGGTGCAGAAAGATCTACACTGTTTCAGACACCCTGCACAGGGTAGACACACCCTTAAAATCTTATTTTACCACATGATGCAATAAAGAGCTTTGGTTCATGTACTTATTATTGAGATTTTAAGTGTATTTTCATGAAAATAAAACCATCTCCTTTTATTTTCAGACAGCATTGCTGTACAAAATGCGGTCTGAGTACAAAAAAAAAAAAGTCATTAGTAAATCCTATGTTTTCACTCTTTGTCCTGTTTAGAAACTGCATATACAGAAGATGGGGCTATGAATAATTCCATATTACAGAGTAAAATTCATATCATCTGGGCTTTGCATTATTATTTTATTTGCATTTATGTAGATAAAAATCACCCTATTTAAGTTCTTTTTTGAGAATCTGATATCATATTTGTTAACACTGAGGAAATCAATTAATGGAAATTAAATGTTCAAAGTTTCACAGTCTGACAGATACAATCTTAGTCTGAAGTCACTCTATGTCTGGAAGTACTTGCTAAGGGAGAGCAATCAAAGCACCTAAATTGAATTGCTACTATACAGCAATTAGTTTATTGATTTAATTAAGAATGCCACCTTTTAATTTTCAGGTCATGATTGAAGCATTTTCTGATTCAATGGATTAGGCATTAGCAGAATGACAGATCTACCAAGAAAACCTCCCAAAATATAACTAGAATAAAGAACCAGGGCTGGGAAGTGAAGTGCTATTCTAAAGAGGACTTTGTTCATAAATATGGAATTATACACTGCTTGAGTATTTTAAATGCATCACTGGCATCTGCTTCCAAAAAGAGATGTCTCATCAATCATGTTGTATTATGAATTCAGAGAGTGCAAATTCTATGACAGTAAATTCAACTTAATAAGTAAGTAAGGTACTCTGCAACATTATTTGTTACATTATTATTAGAGTACAAAATAATAACTGGTTAGCAATTCTTAAGTTATAAGTACTAGTTACATGGGTAAATATTTTATTCTAAATTTGTGGCAGCTAAGAAGCTTTGGAGGTAATTTTTTCGATCAGAGTTGCTCCTCCTTTTCAATTCTAAACTCTAGCAACGCAATTCAAAATAATTCATTATTGCTGTTCCATCACTAAACTTAAGATTTGATGTGTAAACCATGGTATGTCCAGCACTGTTTCTCCTGTCCATGCTAGGGTCTCAGCCTATAAACCTTTTTATATGACAAGACCTTCTGGCCCGATTCTGCTTGTAGCTTTCTGCAGATTTCTGTGGAATCTGTTATACAACATGAGTAATGCCAGAGGAATTGGGCAGGTCCTATTCATTTAATTTTCTCGTGAATAGGGACTACTGAGCTGTGGCAGGAAAGGTTCATAGGCATTTACCAACAGAAACATATACGTATATCTATATGTGTATATATACATATTTAAACAGGTTGTTAAATCTTTAATATTATAATGCAGAAAGTTAGTCCTACATATAAATATTTCCATAACTGGGACTGTAGAACATACACACTTTATGCCATGGGATATATGTTTTGTATGACCTGAATCTTTATGGCATTATCTGTACAGTCACTAAAATACAAACTCTAAGAGCCATTGTCACATTTTACTAAGTTCTCAGTGAAGTCAATATACTAGTTACAAAGCAAATGGCATATAAGCAATCAAGATTAGGCCCAATAGTAATTCATAATGTGTATAAAGGTTACGAGCACAATATTTGCTCAGAGGTCTTGGAAACATCATCATGCAGCTTATGGAAATGTCAGTCTGTGCCAGTATTATAGCCAACTTTTCTGCCCTTCATATCTTACAGTTGGAAACACTATTTTTCCTGCAGCAAATATGCTTAGCCTCCTTCCATACTCACTGCAACAAAAAGTGTGCACTGATAATATTTGATCAACTCCAATGGAAATTAAGTCAGTTATGCCATCCCTGCTTTCTAAAATTGTCAATGTTGAAGACAGCATTTCTTATTTAGAGTACAAGGTAAGTTATGAAACCATCAGCCCAAATCATGAGAAGCGTTATTCTTTTTCAGCCCTGATGAGACTTCCAAATAATAACAACAAAACAGAAAAGCATTGCTGGCAACACCAACGTCTTCAAAGTGCTTCAAAGGTCAGTGGGGGAGAGAAAGAGGAGAGAAATGTCCAAGCTCTGTTTCAAATGCTCAGAATAGAAACTAAATATTGAATATTACAGAAAAGTCACCAACTCCTTGTAATAAAAATGTACAAATACAGAAGAATCATATAATACTCACTGGCATAGGGAGAATTGGCAGCAGATCCATTCAGGAAGGTTGGAGAACCGCCTAAATTTGACATTCCAGCATTCCCATAGCCATTCATGCTTGTTGTGACAGAGTTATAATTTGTCTGCTGAGGGGTGGTGCTTGGCACATAGCCATGAGGTGACACGCTGCTTGAGTTGCGAGTAAAACCTTTTGTAGGGAGGGAATACATTTAGAAATTGGTGTTAGCCCAAAAGAAATTTCATAAACAAACAGCTACAGGCAAGTAATTTGGGGCTACTAAGGCAGCCACGGTGTGCACAGGGAGGGGCAGGACTGACCACTGCTACCACCAAGTAACCCAAATTGTGATCCCTCACTGCCTGGGTCATTGCTTGTGGGAACTCAAAGAGGGAGGAGGAAGGCTACAGCCTTCACAGGCAACCTGTTCTTTCAAGGAGATGACCATTGGGTATTCTTGGAATACTCGCTCTAAAAGAGCTGTTTGTAGGAGATGGAGCAAACATGACCTATGTTTTCAAAGTTAGCAGTACATACTGATTTAAGGTATGTTAAAAACATGTGATTTCTGTTAAATGTCTTCTAATGTCTCTCATTTAATGCATCTCAAATTAGATGCTACAGCACACTTTAGAAAACACAGTAAATTTCTCAAAGTAGTGGAAAATCCTAAGTCTCCTTTTCCTAGTCTGATCACTATGTTGGTAGAGAATAACCAAATTTGATTCCAAGTTAAAATTTGAATTTCTACCTAATTCTGGAAATGATGTTTGGAGAAACTCATATCCAAATACCCAAAAATGAGGATTTGTTTCTAGAAGCACAGGAATACAAAATGTATCTCCACTCCCAGAAGATGAAATATAAACTTATCTTCCCATTGCATAGTATGTCCATAAAATATTATGATCTGAAAATCATTTCTATTTTTTAGTATAATGCAAAATAATTTTTCTGCCCTTCTGAAAAAGCAGACTCCTTCTACTATTTTATCATTAAAATGGAATTTAAGTTTTGTAATAAAGGGAGCTGAGCAAAGGAGAGTGAAAAATGCAAAGATTTTTTTAAAAAGATGCTTGTCACTTTTTTAACTATAGAAATTAAAACAATATTGATTTGATTTTATGTAAAGTGAAAAATGCTCTATTTTAAAAATGTCTTTGTAAATATTTCTATTTTTACTCACTTTTAAAATTTAGAAAAGTCTCAACCTCTGAAAACAATTAGTGCCAATATAATGTCTCTTGCAAAACCAAATCAAAAAATAATGAAGTGATACTTTTGTGTTATAAAGAAATACTATATAAGGCCCAGATTCAGAGTTCATCCATGTTCAGGAAAATATGTAAGTACGTACTTAAGATTAAGTACATGTTCAGGTTATAGAAATTCCTTTCAAAACAGCAGGATTTAAACACAAGTGCAAGTGTTACTGTGAGCAGACCGAAAGCAGTCTGATACATGCATAAGTGCTTTTCCAGAACTGGGGCCGAAGTCACTAAAGAAAGCCCCATCTCATGACAGAATTGAGTAATTCAAAGTTTCTGCATGCAGGTGTGATGGTGTCTGTCTGGATGTGCTTCTTGCATTCGGTTTTGAACCATCACTCTCACACTGCTCTGTGTGTTTGCCTGACTTCTATCAGAAAAGGTTCAAAAAGAGAGGAAGACGCGTCTTCTCCTGACCCTGATTGGTGGCCTGTGAGGCTTCGGAAACATTGACAGCTAGTTGACCGCTAAAGGAATTCACTCCCATCATTCCTGCGTGGACTGACGTGTTAGCAAGGGCGGGGAGCTGGTTGTGGTTGCGGGGGACACTGTAGAGTGCTTCTGCGATATCTGCTGCTCTTTTCAGGATTATTTCCTAGGGGACAAGAAATGTAAAAAAGAATAAGAGTGTTACCAAGTCTACTCTGACAAACCTTTTCTTACATAATAAAATAAAACATTTCCCCGTCCAAAGGAAATACTAGATGCTTTTCTTTCTAAACCAGCTAGCTGACTGATAGCTGATGCTTATAGATCTGCTTGCTTCATGATAAATCCTGACAACTGTGGTAAGAGAGTTGGAAACTTCAGTCCCAGTGGCCACATTTCTGTATAACAAGACAAATAGGCAGAATGGGACTGAAGCCTAGGCTTACTCCACCTTAAAGCTAAAATATCTTTAGGGTAAGACTGAAACATCACTGGTGGCAAGAAATAATGCATATCATTGCCCATATCATACAGTCTCTGGTGACAGTGGGCAAATGCCCCCAGGGTTAATAACATGTTGGTTTTGCAAGCACTAAATTCACATACTTTAAAAAGAAAGCAAGCAAACTAAACCCCATTCCAGATATGGCATTGCCCTACATATTTATTCTTGTCTCACATTATAGTATCATATACCTTTAGCCCCTGATCTATCTATACATCTAAGAAATAGCCATGTTTTAGAATTGCTGAAGTAGAATGCATTTACCTGGTTATTATGTGGCATACCATAGAGTGCTTCTACTAAATCAGCAGCCCTCTTAAGTATTACTTCCTGTCAATATAAAAACAGATGTGTTCCTCTGAGTTCAATAAACTCCTTGTGGGGGAAAACAAATATTAGAATCTTTTATATTGTTCTATCAGTTGCACTGTGTTTTGTATTGTGTTTTTTTTTGTGTGTTTTTTTTTTTCCTCCCACCAGGTAGACCTTAATTTTAACAACTCTCAGCAACCACTCAATGGTGTTAAATCACTAGTTCATCCTATTCACACACACGCTTAATCAAGTCAAAAGGTGAGAATCATTGGTGCTGCAAAATAAAATACATCACTCAATTGTCTCTACCATCTGCACCATAAACCACTCATCGGTTTATTGCAGAATACAATCCTGAGGTCATTTACTAGATTACTGCAATCAATGTCATTCAGAGCATGTTATGAATCCCTTCAATGTGTTTATTTTTTTCTTAATTGCATACTGCAGGAATTGTGACCTTACCCAGCAGGCCACGTTCAGAAGATACCCAATCAGTTCTGTGCTACTGGTAATGTAACCTTTCAACTTCTTTGGTTTGTATCTTGATATGACAGGTCAGGGTGGGAGCCATATACACAAATACATGCAATATGTGAGAATGGCCCAGTGCCATGAAGTGTTTCCTTGAAAAAATCCCAGCATGGACAGCAGAAATTAGAGCAGTCTTGGATATAGCTTTCATATTGGGGCATAAATTAACTTTTAATTCCTCTTTCTTTCTCCCTCCATTTTCCTATTTGTTCTTATTTGTACAGCATTTTAAATGGGCACTCAAGTAATACTAGCATTTCCTGTGTTCTTACATTTAAAGTGTGGAAAAATCTCTATCAGGAAAGCTGATAGAAAATGTAAAAAAAAATAATACAAATTCATATTCTTTAAAAACACCTAGCAGATTACCAATTGCCTGATCAAAAACAGTCCAGACTGTCCTTTAAGCAAAACACCATACTTTTGTAATTACCAGCCCCCGCATGATACCCTAATAAATTAACATGATGTTATTCATCATGGTATATTTCTGTAGGTAGCTTACAAAAATAGTAACAGTTCTGAGTATTTTACAGTTTTCTACAAAGTTAAACTTTTAGAGTTAAAATATTTTACACAATAGCCATATTTTATACCAAAAAGAAACAGTAATGCTCAATTTTCATATACTGTAGAGTCTGATCAGAAAATAGAGATATAATTGCGTTCATTTTGCTGTCACCATAACCTCTTCAAAAATCCTTGAACAACTCTTCAAATGACAAGCTTTTAGATGCATATTAGCATTTTTTTCAATTTTAAATTCTCTATAATATAAGATAAAACAGTTGTCATACTGCAGTAACTACTTATGACATATATAATGTCCTAAATTCAAAAATGAGATGGAGGATTTTTGTACTCCCAGTAAACATTTAGGCTTGCCTTTGCTGCACACCCCTCTCCCAGAACACACATTTAAATTATTTTCCACATATGAAGTGAGATGTAATATATAATCGAAAGATTTTTGAATCACTACATTGAAACCAATTCTGAGGAGTTAGTTTGCTACAGCCTTTCTTTTCTTTTTTTTTTTTTTTTTCCCTTCACATAGCTTGACCACAACCATTAGCTGTATAATCATGGACAAGCAGACTACAAGTAACGTTCAGGTACAATCAATCCTTATTGCTTTACCAGAGTCATCAGAACACTAAGTAGCCCTTTTTTCCTCATGTTGAAGATACAAACTGGAGAGTAGAAGTGTTTCTGAAAAAATATTATATTTTTCAAATATGATTGTAGATGGAAAATTACTACACAGGTGTTTGACTTTGCAAACTAGGATTTATTTCACTTCAGTAGAAATTGTTTGCACTATATATTTCACTAATGCAAAATTAAAATGTGATACAGAGCCCACAAACCGCTTTGGAATATTGTTAACCTAAGCTGTCATTATGCCAAATTACTAAAAAAAAAAAAAAATAAAATAGTCAATTCTGCTCCACCTGACTAATCATAGTTATTTATGTAATGCTGAGCTAAAAATCTCAGAATGCATCTAAAAAGAGATTGAAGACCATGTTAAAAAATTAGGTAATTACATGCAATCTTACAGCTGCTCTACCTAATATCAAATATATTCCAGTTCCTAAATATTGCAAGTTATTTGATGCAATATTATGTTGTATGCAAATAAAACTAATTGTCATGATGTTTTACTGAAGTGTGCTTGACAAATAGCATTCAATTTTCCTAGCTAGTCAATGGTTATCTTTTTCCAATATCTTTGTAGCCTGTAAATTTGAGTTTCATACTTTCTCTAACAATATTTTCACACAATAAAAGCATTTCTTGTTTATGACATTTTCAAATCATACAAAGTAGATTTTACACAAAAATTCCTGTGTCAGATACTGGTATCTTCTATTCCAGAGCTGACGGTAGTTCTTACAGACACAAAGTAGCTTTAAAGATACACAGTAAAATGCTACTACAGACATGCTCAAGGCATTAACGTTTTGTTTTCTGAATGCAGTTAAACCTTTTGCAGCTCTGCCTAAATTACCATAGAAGCTACCATTATGACTTCACGTACAAAGGAACCCCCAAAGTCCTCTATAAGTTAGAGCAACAGACCTTGCAAGGTGCTTGGATTGCGGTGACCAGAAAATTGTTCTCACCTCCATGTCATTACGCTCACAGTGAAGCAGCCCCCGAGCATGTTTGTGTTCGGGATCTAATATATTGCCTTTCAATCAGAGCTGAGAGCCACTGAACACATAGACAGAACATGACGAGCAGGTCAGGAAAGCAATAAAGATTTTACAGAGCTGTCCAAGGTGCTAAATTTACTCAATAATGGGTTTGGCACCATAGTGTTAACCTCTCATTTACTACCAGTTTGAGGGACTAAATTGAAGTAGCTGACTTCATTTACCTTGAAATGTATATTTTATGACATTATGTAAGTAGATTGAAAGGGCACTGCAGTTTTAACAATTTAAAGGCTAGAGCATGTTTAAGATGAAGCTTGAATATTTATTGTATATTGCACTTAAACTATATAGTATATTAAAATGCATTGATTAAATTTGTAAAAGGTATTATAAAAAAGGACAGCTAATATAAAAGATCTATGTCTTTTAAAATCCAATTGATACTGTATGTTACCACTGCAATGGTGATAAACAGATAGATAGGTGGACAGAGAAGCAGACAGACATCAAAAAGTGAGTGAAACTCACATCCTACAAAAAGAAATCTCTGCACAAGCTCAAGGTCTGTTATCCAGATTTCTTTTGTTCACAGAAATTATTCTTTGCCTTCATCATGGAAACATAGATTTTCCTAGCAGTAAGTGGGCATCATGTAAGGTCCTTCCAATTGAATATGCAAGTGGAAATATTTCCTGAAGAGACAGAGTTTGACTAAAGCTAATATCTAATTTATGGGGGCATTTGTCAAAAAAGATCCACTCTTCTACTAATGTTAAAAGTCTGACAGCTTTTGGGTTAGAATAAAGGACTATGCAGCATTTCGTTTGAGGACCTTCTTGTCTTTCATTTTTTGTCAAATGACCATCGTTTTATTTCTATAAAACAACAAATGAGAAAATATAGAAAAGAATAAAATGTTATAATATACTACTTTATTTAAAATATTACTTAAATATTATTATAGATTATTTAAAATATTATTTAAATTATCATCATATATTACTTTTTAAATTATAATCTATTACTTTAGAGATTAAATACGATGCATCAGAACTCTGCCCTTCATACAGCTACACAACACAGATCCAGAGTCCATTTCTATTCCAAAGCTGAAGCTGATTTTCTACTGATGGATTTGTTATTATTATTATTATTTTGTGAAACAAAAATGCGATGAACTATTTCTATCATATTTTCTTCCTGAAAATAGTAAGGGATGTTTACATTAAAAAAAAAAAAAAAGTGGGGTAGTAAAGTCTGCTGTGACTTTGCATATTCCAAAATCACTGTAGGAAGGATTATATAAAGCATACAAGAATGACTGTGCTTTTAAAGCATGATGATTATAATTTAAATAAAATCCTCTTCTGATTGAATGTACCCTGGACCAACGTTACAGTGACTTTGCATGTTTTGTTTGTGACATGCATTCCTTTTAGTAGGAATCCATTAATATCATAAAACTTTCATTTCAAGTTTTATTACGACAGACACATTTTGTGTCAAGTTCTATCATGATGAACAAATTTTGTGACAGCTTTAAAAAAGATCTCTGCTGTTGACATCTGCCTTTTTAAAAAATATTATTATTATTGGGTGTCTAGTGAATATATCCACTTTTGTCCCAACACTACGGTGAGTCTAATCAGGAAAAGGGTATCTAGAGTTATAGTGAGTTACTCAGCTTTGGTAACTAAATTAGACAGTGTTCAAGATACTTGTTAAATGTAAATGAATTTTGTCAAGAAAAAGCTGGCCACAATATATAATACTCATCAGCCACATATTGTATTATTGAGACCACCAAAGGATTTATGTACTTGTGGAGGGCGTGGGGGGGAAGCAGTTCTAGCGGACTGTGAGGCATTTATCTTATGTGTTGTCTAGATATCATATCACCTTCTAATGCTCTTTAGCATTGTAATACAAGAGAGAGCTCATTCATCTTCTGAGAGTGTACTTAGGGATGATGATGTCATTCATACTTCCTTGACTCTTATGTCTGACCTCCTGGCTCTGCCTTCTAACTTCCTACTCTCATGGCTACTTGCAAGAAAAAACCTCTTCTACAGAGTCAAAATACTGAACAGCAGACTCCAGTTCCTTTCTTCACCTTGCAAAGGTCACATTCTGCAAGTTCAAGTAAAAATTAAAATGTTTTGTGCTCAAAATTTTCCTTTCTTTTTCAATGGGTGAAACTTTCAATATACTGATGTAGGATATGTACTAAAACAAAGTTTTAAACTTAGAATTTGTATATGCACTATACAATAATAATAATAAACCAATAAACATAAAGTTGTGAACACATCTTTT